CTCTTACGAGAGGTTCTCTCGTATTGCGTAAGTTAGCTTACGCTACGGGAACCCTTTGTCAACGCCGTGCGCATCAAACATCCACTCATGAGTCCCAGGGTTTCCCAGGGAACCCAGATAAGTGGGAAAATAAGGCGGCCAGCAGCGCAGTTTTGAGTGACAGGTACTTTAACGCCACGGAATCTAAGGGACTTCAAAGGGAAAAGCTTTCAGGGCCTCGAGGACCAACTAAAGATCCCACATAGGAACCAACGGGGAGCACGAAGGGTTCATCCTTCTGGCTCCTCTAAGGAAGTGGATGACAAGCTTGTTTTTCCCTAGTGACATGCCGCGCTTTGACTCTGCGAACGCTGCAACGTGGATAGGGACCTTTCCTTTATCCAACAGATCGTGAAGGAAACTGAGCAGCCGCGAGATCCCATATGTTGCCATCCCACATCATTTCTGGACTATTTGGGGGTGCAGGGACCATTCACCTGGGGGAATGTTGTCCCTGGATAATTTGCCTGGGCCGTCGTTCAGGTGGCCTGGCACATGTACAGCTCTCAGCGAGTGCAGGTGATGCTGAGACCATGTGAGGAGGCGCTCTGTCAGATCGCAGAGGTTCCTGCATCTAACGCCGCCCTGACGGTTCACGTAGGACACCACACCACTGACATGTTGTCTGAACGGACTAGAACTTGGTGGTCCTGTATGACTGGAAGGAACCGCTTCAGTGCGTTCTCGACCACTATCATCTCCAGACAGTTTATGTGAAGGAGCTTCTCCTGGTATGACCACTGGCCAAAGACTGGTCTGCTCTCCAAGAGAGCGCCCCAACCTGAGTTGGACGCATCTTTCGACATGACCTTTCGATATGAAACCGCTCCCATCATCAATCCCCGCTGATACCCGGCCGCTAACCAGGACTGCAAAGCCATAATGCAGGTCTGAGTCACTCTGATTCGTTCGCACCCAGAGACCCAAGCTCGGCAAGACACTCGAGTGTTCAGCCAGCGTTGAAGCGGGCACATGCGCAGTAAGCCCAGCTGAAGCACTGCTGCAGCTGAGGCCATAGAGCCCAGCATCCTCTGGAATGTTTTCAGAGGGATGCTGCTGCCCTTCGGGAAAGACACGACCAGATGTCGCTGTGGCGATAAACAAGCCGTCATGGCCACAGATTTCAGTTCTATTCCTAGAAAGGAAATTGACTGACTGGGCAGTAATGAGCTCTTGGTCCAGTTGACCATGAGACCCAAGCTTTCCATGTGAATGAGGAGCACAGTTCTGTGAGATAGCAGTTCTATCTCTGACTGTGCCAAAATCAGCTAGTCGTCCAGATAGTTCATGATTCGCAAACCTTGATTTCTCAAAGGGGCGAGAGCCTCATCCATGCACTTCATAAATGTATGGGATGCTAGAGACAGGACGAACGGCAGGACGGTGTATTGAAATACCTGATCGTCAAAGCCGAATCTCAAGAATGGCCTGTGACAGGGTATTATCTGAATCTGAAAATAGTCATCTTTCAGATCGAGAGAAATGTCTTGGCCGAACGTGCGTGAGGATTTCCCTGGTTATAAGGATTTTGAAAGGTCTTTTATAAGCACTTTGTTCAAACATCAAAGGTGGGTCTCAGGGCTCCATCCTTCTTGGGTACGAGAAAATAAGAAGGTGGTACCAATTCTTGGATCGATGCCAGGATAGAACAGCAGTCCCTTGTGGCGTGTCCTTCGGCCTCGTCATCAGAAACGACGGCAGTGCGGCTTGTGGGTGGCAGCTGTGTGTCTGTGCGGGAGGCGGAGATGGTAAGAGCGAGGCTCAAGTGAGAAAGTCCGGCGAACACGTCGTTGTGGCCTAAGGCTCTGGCGGCCTTTGAGAACGGTGCTTCTTTTTGCATGGTCCTGCAAAGGGTGGCGTGTGAGGGTTGAACACTTCGAGTCAAGCCCACAGGGTCGACATCAGAAGCGCTTCACAGAGCTCGCAACCCCCTGACGAGAGAGCGAGAGCTGCATGTTCCAGGCCCAGGCAGAGAGCGCATATAACATGGTGGTCTCCATCGCTGAGCAGGGCTCTGCACGAGCCGCAGGAAGTGCGAGACATCTTGAAAAAAGACGCTCGCTGCTCTTTTGTGAGTTTGCAACAAAAAGGATGCGTCGCCAGGTAGCGTAGCTCGCACGGATGGCTAAAGGTGGCGAAGACGGCCGGCTTCTTTAGGCGCTGTCCTAAGCTGGCTTGTCGCTTACCTCGACAGCGGCAGTGGCTTCTCTCTAGATCCAGCGATGCGACGAGCTTCGCTGAAGAGATGAAAATCAGAGAAACAGCCTCCTAGCCCTGCTTATATACACTAAGCCAAGCCCATAGCTTTTCTCAAGAAAAATTGGAGAAACTGAAGACCCAAGCCAAAGTCTCCATTTAATTGTATTGCTGTCTAGCCAAAGAAACCAAGATAATACAGATGAAATCAAAATGGACCCTATTTACTTCTTTCCTTTTTGTATTAAAAATAATTGTTTGTCATCATAATCTTTCATCAAAATATAATAAATTGCTCTTCCTGTTTTCAACCAAATAGCTCCTTTTTTGGTATAAAATATTTTGGAGATTTTGTCTCCACTGTTCACGATCCAATCAGTTTCTGATGGATAAAAGCCAGTTCACACCAAGAACGATAGCTATAAAGATTATAATACCAACACACGATAACATTCTATTTATGTTGTCTACCGCTTTAAATGCTCAAGCTCTTTAAAGTCAAATAGATACTGATTGGCTGTCAAATATTGTTCATTAGCTGGAAAAAAATAATTCTGGAAGTATTTCCAATAATATTTTTGTGTTGTTATTGTTAGGTGTGGTGTGAACTTTCCTGTTCTCATACAATGAATAGTTATCGTTATTGGTGTGAACAACGGGCCTTACAAGGATGGTTCAACAGAAAATAAATATTGTCAACATTTACTCACCCTCAAGTTGTTCCAAACCTATTTGAATTTCTTCTGCTGGACACAAAAGAAGATATTTTGAAAAATGTCGGTAACCAGACAGTTGATTGACCCCACTGACTTCCATAATATTTTTTTTCTTTTCCATACTATGGAAGTCAATAGTACTAATACTAATGAAGTCAATCAACTATGTGGTTACCCATATTCTTCAAAATATCTTCTTTTGTCTTTTTCAGCAGAAGAAGGAAATACAACCCGGTTTGGAACAACTTGAGGGTGAGTAAATGATGACAGAATTTTCATTTTTGGGTCCCATCCAACCACAGACATGTATTACATAAAGAAGTAAAATGCATTGTCTACACCATGTTGACTTTGTCTCTACTTTTTCTATTTAATGTTTCTCATGGTCTCGTTTAGTGTTTGTACTATTTTCCCTGTCCTTTAACTGTCCTGTATCCCTCCCTTTACTTTACCACAGTATTTTTTTTATCTAACTACAATGTCATTCTCTCTCCACATAGATGCAGAGTGTCATGTATGAACTGATGTCTGAGCTGAATGACCGCAGTGAGGATCTGGAGAGGCAGATGTTAAGTCTGGAGCAGCGGGTGGAGCAGCTGACGGCCGGCTTTAACGCTCTGCCCGCTCATTTGTCGGCCACGCTCAGCTCCCAGCATGCCGCACTCATTCAGCTGCTGCGTGAGCGTGATGCCAAGGTCCTGAGCCCCACTGTGCCCTCTGTGCTCTCACCCACCGCTGCCAGCCTGCCTCTAGCCAACCCCCCCTCCGGCTCAGGCTCTGGTTCCGTCCCGGCTCAACCCACCGAGGACAGTCCCAACACCAGCAGCTCCAGTTGCTGAGAGCACTGGTGCGGGAAGTTCCCTCCAGGTTGGAGAGATGGATGATCAGTCGTAATGAAGAGAAGTGATGACATAACCATATACACGCATACTCATACGATGCACTGTAACTACGAGCATTACGCAGCTTAACGCCACAGAATATATCACAATTGGAGGAGATGCTAACATTTGCACAAAAACCCTTTGACAAAACTGCCATATTTCACGTAGTCCAAAAGAAGGACGCCCTTTACTGTTACCATGAATGTATACATTTTAGAAGAGACTGTCTCAGACATGTTGACATGCATGGACACTCATACACATACTTTCTCTAATTCCGTCTTTGCTACCAAAGTGCTTTGTCTATAGTTGACTGAAATGGACTGAGGTGTGTGTTGCAAAACAGGGGTTCGGGGTGGTTGGGATTAGAGAGATTATAAATAATCAGTGACCGAGAATGTTATGATGGCAAATCATCATTGAGAGCTGGACAGCACTTTTTACAGTCTGCAAGAGAATAACAGCCATTTGAGAAAAGCATTATTTCAAAGTATTTCTGAAGCCAGTCGATACATTATAAAAACCACCCCATCAAGGTGGAACAGCTGCTCACACGGAAATAACTGTAGAATGAGTGATTATAGTCATTTTCTTAGTGGAATTGCTTCTATTATAATGGTGTTGGAATAAGAGACTTCTAACCCATTTGAATGGAGAGACCATTTTGATAACTGACTAATAGTGACATCCTGTGGCCGGAATACTGAATTACATCCGCTTGGAATATTGTACAGTATGCTATTACTGAACTAGCTTTGTATCGCTCGGTTTTTTACTATTAATAATTACTAACGCAGTTTTAGCTCATATTTATTATAATTACACAATAGCATTCTTCTCATTCGTTCATGGAAATTATGATTGCTGTATAAATAACGATTTTATTAATATTAAAATAGATAATGGAGGTGTCGTTTGAGGTTGAAATTATTTTGTAATTTTATTTTACCAGAGAGAATTAATAAAGTATATATCTATACTTGACTGTGTCTGTGTGTGAGTATCATTGTGTGACTGTCAGCTGCAGAACGAGCAGCATCTGTCTCTTTAAATCCACCATCGTTCAAGTTTTAACATTCATGGGCCTAATCTAATGACATTTACAACAGACAAGACCAAATGTGTCTTTGTTTCCGTGCTGCCTTAAACGTTCTTGTTTCGTACGGTAACGTTAGGTCTACTATGGGGCTGTGTCGATAAAATGACCTTTATTGTGGATTTATTATAAATGTATATAATGTAACTTACGTTACATGTTACATACGACGTGTCACCCGCGCGGTTTGAAATTCAAATTTCTCTTGGATCTAGCAGCTAACGTATGATGATAGGCTTTCTATGCTTTGCCACGAGAATGGTTTTATTCGTTTTTTAACGTTTAGCCAACAATAAACTTGTAAAATAATTGCCCCCTTCTCGGTTTTACCTCATTACTCCTATGTAAAAAACCCATGTAACGTTAGGCTACTTTGAAAACAGCGCAGACAGGTAACTAACTTACAGCCTAGCCTACTAATCGTTCTGATGGTAATGTAAAAACAGTAGCAGCTACACGATGATTACAATCAAAATTACAGTACATTATTTCAAATATCAACCTCGACAAGCGTCATGTAACGACAAGTGCAGTTACCATCGCCTTAATTGCATAATAACCTAAATGTAAGTTAGCAGCTAACTGTTTGTGTTAGCTCTTACAAATGAGATTAACTTGTTTGCGCTTTCAGCTCGTGCCTTGCTTTGAAAATGATGTCAAAATAATTGTTTAGCCACCAGAAGTATTCAGTTGTGTATTGTAGTTGGTTTTCAGAGCTGCAATATCAACATGCCTATGATGGAGAAAGCAGTTTGGGTGATTCTGCTAATGAGGTCATTGATTGCACTCAGTAAGTCGACTAAACTGAACGTCCCCAAGCTGCTGTTACCTCTCAGCGTTCATGTGCCTGTAAACATCACACTGACAGTACAGAGAGGATGCTACAAATGGTGAGTGACAGGGGCTGTGGAGCATACTCAGCTTAACATGCCATTCTGTCTCATTACGAGCTGTCATGTCTGAAAAGTAATTAATTTAATCAGTTTTTTTTCTGAATAACAAAATTCAAAAAATCTTGTTATGGCATCATCTCCAGGGTGAAGTTTGTTTTGCCCCTTTACTGCCCTGCAAATCAGTATGCGTTTCCTGAAGATGCAAGAAGAATGTTAAAAACTTAAAATTGGTTAGAGTAATGTGTTTTTTGGTGTGATAATAGTGTGAAAGCCTGAATAGATTGAGGGAGAAAAGGGGAAAGAGAGATTGATTGACTGGACCATACTAATGGTTCACTCAGGCCTTTCCATTTATAAATGGAAGGATAAAGATAAATAGTCTGATAAAGAAAATATAGCGCAATTTGCAATTATAATGTGTATACACAACACGTATCAATTTAAGTTTGACTGGAATTTGATTGCCTCACTTATCAGACATGAGAAGAAACGTCCCAGCGGTCCTACAACTTTACCTGTTTATTTTTATTTTATTAATTGTTTTTATGTGAAATGATGACTATAATGTTCTTAACACGTGTGCAATTTTTCATTTCCTCTTCATTGTATCGGCATGATGGCATTAGCCTACATTATATACACACTACCATTCAAGAGTTTGTAACCGGGTTTATTTTAAAATGTTTTTCAAAGAAGTCTCTTATGCTGACCAAGGCTGCATATATTTAATCAAAAATACAGTGATAGTAATATTGTGAAATATTTTCACAATTTAAAATAACTAAAATAAAAGCAATGTTTGCCCTAATTACCCGTAGTGTAATTATCAAAGTAATTCTTCATCAGGAAGGCATTTGCCATGTTGCACCTGCTGTGAGTTAACATCACAAACACTAGTCTTGTTTTTATACGTGTAATTTTTGATTATATTTTCTTGATCCAAAATAATTCCATAATACAGTTTTGTAGCCTCATTTTGGCCTAAACTCATTGAATCGGTGTCAGAGTTTCATATCATGACATTTTTACATTTGAAACATTTTTGAAAAGAAATATGCCTGAATTATTTTCAGAAAAGTAAGTATGAAAAGAATAATATCGACAATAGCGTGCTTTACTTGCAGTCATGTGTCCTACTCTGTTGCTGTCTCTGTCTGACTTTAGGGTGTCCTCTAAGCCTGAGATTGTCAGGGTGCATCCTCTTTCTGCACTCAGCCCTCCGGCTCCGCTGCCCCTCTCTTCCTGCAGTCAGCAGTGCTTGGTGTCAGCTCTGTCCCTTTCTGTCCCTATTCGTAGTGTGGTCCAAGCACAAGACCCTGGTGAGAAAGAGAGGGAGACAGAATACACCGCCATTACAGCAGTAGGGTATTTTTTCACGAGCAATTTATGAATCATGAAGCCATTTTCCATATGAAATTAACCGTCATTTTAATTGACAAATAAATGCTGAATGCAGTCAGCCTGCTCACTCTTTGGCTCACTGACTGCTTGAATTAAAAATCTCATATCCATTTAAATCTCATTACAGTACTCAATCTATTAAAAGGATAGTCCACCTAAAAATGAATATTCTGTCATGATTTATTCACCGTCATGTCGTTCCAAACCGGTAAGATTTTCTTTCTTCTGTGAAACATAAAATATTTTTTGAAGAATGTTGGTAACCAAACAGTTTTAGTACTTTCATTGACTTTCATTGGATTTCTGTCATGACAACTCTCTTGAGTGTTTGGCATGATTATGGATATGATAGATCTGCTACGCTGCTGCGGTTGCTGCTTTTTGCTGCTTCAGAGCAAGTACGAGATTTCTACTGCCAATACATACTGTACACACAACGCTGCTGTGAGCAAGTAATACAAAACGGCATACATGAATTGCCCATAGCAGATCTGAACATGTGGAGCAAGGGAAGGTGGATGTTTCTGAAAGCGCACTGCAACTGCTACAGAAAATAATGACAAGCATTTGAAATTTGAAAAATTACCTAGCAGCCTGCGCCATCATGACAGAACTTTGTATGGACAAAGTATGTCTCTTTGTACGCCTCAGTGGGTAGCACTGTCGCCTCACAGCAAGAAGTTGCCTGGTTTGAGCCCCTGCTCCTTTCCACTGGAGTTTGGATGTTTTCCCCGTGTCAGCTTGGGTTTTCTATGCGTGCTCCGGTTTCCCCCAAACAGTGCAAAGACTGTTAGGTGGATTGGACATGCCAAACTGACCGTTTGAGTGTATCCCAGCACTTTATATTTTGTGTGTGTATGGATAATTCCGATGATTAATACTTCAAATACAATTTTAAAATATCCTCTTACTGTATATGTTCCACAGAAGAAAGAAATTCATACAGGTTTGGGACAACACAAGGGTAATTTTAGTTGAAAATGATCCTTTTTTATGTTTCGGATCCAAAACAGAACATGAAGGGTTCTGAAGTGTGACTTTACCCATTCCCATTTTAGTGACAGGTCATATTTTGCGCTGTGATGTCATCATTGATCGGATTGAAAGGATTAAGATCGTCACGACTGCTCGACAGCTTTTTACCGACAACCCCCCACTGCAGTTATCTGTCCAGGCATTTGACTCTGAAGGTACTTTTCATTTCACAAATTTCCTTTGGACACTGTGAAGATCCGTTTCGTTGAGAATGAGAGGGTTATTACTGTGCTCTGTTTTTGGCCTGATCCACAGGAAATACTTTTAGCTGTCTGGCTGGTTTGAAATTTAATTGGTGGCTGGCGAAGGAGTCTGATGCAATACAGGCAGTGAGGTGAACAAGGAACTTAAAGTGAAGAGAGAGCGAGAGCGAGATGGGGAAAACACATCAGCATAAAGCACGTCTTGTTTTCTCTGATTAACATAGGTTTGTGCGGCATCACGATGCCGGGTACGTCCCCCCACCTCATATCCTGTCTCTAGAGGAAGTTGGTCAGAGGGATGAGACTGTCCTGCTGTACTGGATTCACAGTGGTTCAGCACTTATAGAAGCTTCTTTTCTACACTCAGAACATATGGTATGATAGCACATGTAACACTATAGGTAGATTTTAAAATTCTGTCAGAAGCCAATAATTACTTTCAAGTTATGGCTGGTAACCATTAAATGGCCAATTTTAAAATAATATACTATATTCCCTAAAAAATAATAAATAAATACTTTATAGCATACTAAAAATAAAACTCATAGTTTTAAATACAATGTTTAAAAAGTGAATTTAGGGATCACTATATGGCCCGGTTTCACAGACAGGGTTTAGATTAAGCCAGGATTAGGCCTTAGTTCAATTAGGATATTTAAGGTGCTTTCATAAACATGCTTTAGAGTTTTGTGTGCCCTGAGGATGGTTTTGTGACCGAAAGCTTGGCTATTAAATTTGCTATTAATAGGACTCAAGTGTGCGGACAGTTTATTTATTTTTTGAGTTGTCTAGTTGTATCTGTCTGGCACCTTGTTTACCATGAGTGCGGTGAAATTCCTTCAAATAAACATGCTTTAGAAAAAAATCATTAGCACATCATGAGACAAAACAATGGAACTGACATATTGTAAGATATACTGCATCAGTGCTTTCAGTTAAAACAACTTAAACATGTATTTTAGTCTGAAAATAGGCTGAGGCCTGATTTCTTTCAAAGACCTTACTGACCCCAAACTTTTGAACAGAATATTAATATGTATACTGATAAATAATACATAAAAAAAGTTCTACTAACTAACATATTTTGCATCCCTAGAGACACATTATACATAGATAACAAAACTTGTAGAAATTGTTTTGTATTGTATGGGCTGATCAAATATAATGAAGATAATGATAATATATTATACAGAAATGTGTGTGTGTGTGTGTGTGTGTGTGTGTGTGTGTGTGTATGAATGGGTGTTCAGCATGTAGAAGCAGCCAGTGTGACTTTGTTTGTGATAGACAGACTACACCTGAGTCCAGCTGGAGATACATACCTGCTACAGGGATCCACAATCAGATACAGTCTGTGGAACACGGAGCATGGAGGAGAGACTGGTACAAATACAACCTGGTTCATGCTGTTTTGGTGCTGGTTTAGCTGGTGGGCCATCAAAGCCATGTTGTTTATTAACAAAAAAATTGCTGATGAAGCTGGTGAAACTGATTGACCAAGGACAGCTTGCTGATCATAAAAAAGCAATCCATCTCCCTCTAATGGGGACACAAGCATATCAGCATCCAAAACCAGCAATAGTGGTCTTTTTATCATGACATACTGATTCAAATACAATTTTGTGCTTGTAAAACTTTACTAAAGTTCAGGAATCAACTCTTTTTCATTGACAGAAAAATGTTAAAAATGATTGCATGATGTTTATTATCACTGCGTGAAAAGAGCTGTATTCGGGCATGTAAAACTCCTGAGTACTCCTGTGTACTCCACAAATAAACGTGTGTATATGGGAGTTTGCTGTCCCGTCACACAATCCCGAAAACTCCTGGATATGTACCAAGTTTGGGGCACAGCAGGGAGCCACTAGGGCCATCAGTTACCATGGTGAATAATCCCCAGGTCGGGGTCAATGCAAGGGAACATTAGCATTTCACACCTTTGGGACACAAGGCAGTGGCCTCCTTCAATTGGTCAGAGATCTTACATAGGATTGGGTGCTCAATGCTTTGTCCCTCCTCTAAACCCCCACACTATTGGTCCAGTTTATGGCCTCATTTGGGTTTATTATTACTCATTATTAATATTCATTGTCATTGGTGTTCATGGTTATAATGTCAAGACAATCAGATAGACAAAGTTGAGTTTGTTATTTTATTATTTGTAAATGACACTGGGCACATGGCATATATATTTATATACACACAGTCAAAACTCTATAAAAAAAAAAAAAACATTAGCACAGAATACATTTTACTATTAGTCACACAATAAATAACCCCATATAATATATAAGGCCTGTGTATAATATATGTAAAACAATATAATAACCCGAACAACCCACACCGACTTTCCATCCAATATGGCATCCTACTCTTCAGACATGTGGTCAACTTTTGCAGTCTTCCAGATAGCTGCATCTTCCTCTGTCTGGGGAACCCCAGTCCTGCAGCTCAGTAGCTGCAAAATGGGAGGGAAAAAAGTAATTAAACCACTGAAAATATCAAATGTGTTGGGATGGGAGCCTCTCCCAGGCTGAGGGTTTTACTCAGATTTATATGTATTTATATAAAATACACTCTTCTTTTTCTTTGTCTCATGAGCATAATGATCCTGCTGTCCTCCATCTTGTCTTTGTTCTCATCTTGGGCCATCCTGTAACCCCTTCTAACAGTTTCAAAATATGTCTTGCAGGATGCTAGAGAGATGGAGATAGAGAGGGGGAGAATATGTTTATTTGTAACTAACTAATCTATACAGTTAAAAAGTTGTAGCCTTGGTACATTCTCTTGTGACTTACCTTTAACAACAGCAGGATCTACGTCCGGTACAGCCATTAAAAAGATTATGACCTCGAGGTTGTGGGGGGAGGATAGACTGTGAAGCAGTAATTAAAGAAGCTGATTAAAAATATAATTTAGAAGAAACGACTGTTATGAAAGCATAGTTTTAAAGATATACCTTGTCTGTGCGTCATATTTGTGTATGTTGTTTTCCCCATTGTGCAATCTCCATACAGCTTCCTGTAAAAATCCAACATAGTATGAGGGCTCAATTCGAATAGATTTATAAATAAAGCACACAAAGTTAAGCAGACACTGTGATGGTCAGAAAATAACTTACCTCAACAGAATTATTCCCAGCTCTCTTTAATTTCTTTGAAGGAGGCTCCTCTTTTGCCTCTTTGAGCTCATTGATGTCAGCCTCCATCTTATCCAACCTCATGTCCATCATCTCCAGCTTTTCAAATATCCTCTTCAAACTTTCATTTGCCATATACACCAGTCTGTTTTCGTTCGGACTCAGAGATTTAATAGCCATATTGTCCCTATGTAAAGGAGTAACATCTCCACTCTGCTCTCCGTAACACTTGTTGAAGATTGACACAATGTAAAGCCTATCACCTTTCCTGAATACTAATGAGGGGGGCAGGGGAATAGGGGCAAACTTGAGCCAGTCCCAAAACAAATTAGCATTTAAAAAGCCAAGCCATCAACTAACAGCATGTGGTCAGACAAGTTCCTGTTTCCGGGCCTTTACAGGCATTTACAGGTACGCATAACAAAGTTCCAAAGATCCCTGCCAAACAGCACATTTCGCGGGCGTTTTCATTGTCCGAATTCTCCCGTATACACACCTTTTGACGCAGTGTATTCAAGCACTGGTTAAGCTCTGGAGTGTGTTGAGCTATCCTCTAAAGCCAACTGAACGCAGGACTCTCATTTTACAAGTGTCCTCAACACCTCTTCACATAAACACACACCTGAGATTACCAATCTGCCAGTGTTTTTTATATGCTTATGCCAATGTGGCATTTAAACTGCATGTTAACACTTTAACACCCTAACAACATGACTTCACACTTTTAGATAATTATATTGCATCACATGAACACATCTTTGCATATGTCAAGAGAGATATGTGACACTTTTTACACCTGCATCTAATTACTCACTGTCCTGTCTGTTTGTAGAGGTCACTCTCTCTGAGGAGGGATACGGCCTGGTTGTGGATGGATGCAGGGGCAGGATGTACCAACATGACATCATCTGTGTTGAGCGTGAAACAGCAACAGTCACCGCCCTCAAGCCGGGTCATGCGATACTATCAGTTGAACACAACAGTATCCGACACAACTGTGTTTTTCACTGAAACATTGTGTTGAAGGGCATATGAGTATATTGTTATGGTTCCAAGCTCAATTGTGAGTCAGATCTGCCCCCTGAAATAATGTCGCAACTCCCTCGCACTTCTGTATATGTGGTGAAGCCCAGCTATATGAGTGAGTTACACACATTATGAGAGTTACACACCCATATGAGAGTTTATGTTTATTTGCATTTGTCTGTGTGTTTCAGCATTGAGTGTTGAGGAGGAAGAGGACAGGTGGGTGTTGGAGACAGGGCGGAGGTATTATTTGACTGTCCGTATCCATGACAGCGAGGGCCATGTGGTTCACCTGTCACAGGTTGTGCTTCATAGTTTCTGCACTGTTTGCTCCACTGCATCTCTTGACAGGAGCCTAACGTCTGAACTTTAACCCTGACTGTGCAGAATGTGGTGATTGCTGTGGAGGAGACTGAGGGGTTAGTGACACTCGAGTCTTTGTCTGATCCATCCTGCCATCTCCTGCAGACCATCATGAAAGGAAAGACTTTAATACAGGCCTCACTTTATAGCATCGTCTCTGAGGTAACATACTCACACACATACACAAAGATTTGACAGTTGATCGGTGCACATTATTCCAAGGAAAGAATTCATTTGTTTTTGTAATCTTCAAAAGGTAATAGCTTGCTCTTCTTTCCTTCCTTTTGCAGAAACTCTACTAAAAAGCGAAGTTTACCTTCAACAATGTTGCCCCCTCTCTACTTAGAAATATCAGTAGCTTTACAGTTCCAAAACTATTATATTGATAAAGTTTCCGCGCGTGAGTGTGTGTGTCCATATATTTGTGTACGTTTGATGCGGGAGAAAAAGTGTATGCTCTTCATAGGTAACAAAACGTACCTATTTTGTACGTTTTGTTTACCAAAAACATAGGAATATGTTTTGTACTAAAAACATAGGAATATGTCATTTTCATCCTATTGTTTGTTTTATTTATTTGCTTTGTCAATGTCTTTTGCTGTTGTATGCAATAAGGACATTTGAGATAAGTTAAATAATTAGCTGAAGTGATATGGAGCTGTAATGCGACCTTTCTGGAACTATTTACTTCAGCTGTGTGCTTACTAATAAAATAATTGAACACTTTAAAACGTTCATAAACTAATCAGAATCAAGCATTTAACAGCCATGTAGTATATAAAAAAAGAATTTACTTGACCTCAAACTTTTGAACTGTAGTGTATGTCTATAGAATTACTTTGTGCTATAGGTTTGAACACAATTTTACAATACAGAAGAATACAAGACTTGTGTTATCATGTGTAACTCCAGTTCATTCCTGTGGGGTGTTCTGCAAACATTTTCTGAGCAAGCAACAGTAACTAAGAAGGATAAATCTTAGCAAATTGTCTTTTTGTCATCAGTGAGCAACCTGAATGTGAACATGATGGTTATATACTTTCACATAGACATCAATATCAATGTTTACTGCATTACCAGAACCCTGAAAAATGGTTTTACTGGTATCCTGTTGGATATTGTCATGGGTTTAATTAGACAATACCAATGTCATCAGTATGTCAAAATCCTACTTCTGGGATTTTGTTCAGTTCATTTGTCAGTTTGAGGGTTCAGTGAGGGTTATTTCACAAAAGTGCATTTCAGTCTTATTGGAGTAAATGGCACAAGCTGTTTGCAGATCTAGAGGGGAGCCTCACCTCAGGGGGCATGATAAGACATAGAGCAGGAAATGAGGACACGCACACTGTGAAGTGTAAAGAGAGGCATGGGGTGTGTTGGGAAACCCATTGTTTAAAAAGGAAAAGACAGCGTGTTCCATCTGCGGGAGGCACTGTGGTTGCAGAAGATGAAACGCGTCTTAGAGGGGGGGCGTTTTATCCGATCGTCATGCAGGCGTTATGGTTCTGTAAAATGAGGCCCGGGGGAAACATTGCTCATTGGTTTTGTTCTGCAACCGCTAACTTAAAGGGATCATCCATTCGATTAATGGGACAAAAAAGAAGGGAAAACCTTCCAAACTTCCTCCAAGAGAAATCATCCTTTAGCCAGGTCTACATTTTCCTGTCAGACCTTCACCGCAAATGCTGCAGTGCTGCTTTGTGGTTTGGCTGACTATTGAGCTGGTTAGTATCGGTATCAGGTTGGGATTTACATTTATATTTATTCATTTAGCTGATGCTTTTATCCAAAGCGTCTTACAATTGCTATATATGTCAAAGGTCGTACGCCTCTGGAGCAACTATGGGTTAAGTGTCTTGCTCAGGGACACATTGGTGTCTCACAATGGATTCAAACCCGGGTCTCTCACACCAAAGGCATGTGTCTTATCCACTGTGCCATCACCACCCCAAAGATGGGGTAGTGATGGCCAAAATATTTTTACATTTTTTTGTTTCTACAGACCTGTTGATGGTTCTTTTTTAAGGTGCTTTGTTTTTAAAACATAAATGCAGTATATAGTTCAGCTCAGTAAATTGAAAAGTCCCATTTATACTGTAAAATAATATATTATTATTTTTTTTTAATATAAAAAAATATTTTTTTTATTCTTTCATAAAGTACTTTACCCATTAGAGTACTGTCAGTTTTATTTTTTATTTTTATTTTACTTGGACAACTGTTTTATGTAACAGGATGGTGAAGAGTGGCCTGTCATCCCACCAATCAGAGTGCGACAGGAAGTCGAAATCTACAACCCTCTAACCCTTCAGCCCTCTGTGATTGTGTTTCCGTGGCAAACCAACAATAAGCTGTATCAGCACAAAATTCAGGTGCTGTTAAAATCAATATCGTTATCTATATATGTTGGAGCATAATGACTATGATGCTATAACTGACTGTGTTTTCAGGTGGAGGGAGGAAGTGGCTCTGTGAAATGGGAAGTGTCTGATAGTGGAATTGCCACAGTTACAGTAAAAGGGGTGGTCCTAGTATTAAAGAGGAGGGGCCAGGCAGAAAGATTCCAAAAACATCCTACATAAAGTAGTTGGGAAGGTAAAATTGGCACTCACTATCACACAAACATATATATATATATATATATATATATATATATATATGTGTGTGTGTGTGTGTGTCTGATGTTTCTCATTATATGTATACAGGTGATGGTTGTAAGGCCTGGCCGTTTGCAGCTAATTCCTCAGAGGCGATTGTCATGTGGCGGACAGGATTGATATACCCTTGGCTCTTTGGGGCATTCAGGAGGCACCAAACACCTGCTCTCAGACACGTTATGTATTTGATACACATTCAAACACTCACAGGAGCACCAGTACAAATTCTCTGGCAAACTTCTTTGATACAAAAAATCCTGAATGTGGAGAATCTCTACTGGAGGACAGAAATCTTGTGGCCATCACAGACTGCTCTCAACTCTCTGGACGTTCACACTGAACCTTCCGGCATCTTTACACACATGTCAGGTGCATCTACATCTCTACAATTGTGCATGGTTCATCCATTCACACTCCACTGATTTTTTTCAATATTCTCTTACTCTGATGGCCCTTTCATTCACCCGCCTGCTCTAATTGTTTACCTCTGGACATATCGAACATAAAGAATAAGTGATCATCTACTCCCAGTCACACACAGAGACCCCCTCATTGCTTACACACACACACACACACACCCCCAGACACCCCCCCATTTAGGATTTCCTCTCCACTGCACGTACTAATTAAAATAGGATTAATTAGTTAATTTCTCTTGGTTTAATTTAAAGCACTGGGAAAGTCAATATGCTCTCTCTGTGAAATCCGGTTAGTACATTAGCCCGTAAACATCAAGTTGATGGAGTATATGCGTGTTTGCGTTTGACAGAGGATTTATGTACGATAACTCGCACATCTGTCTGGCATGTGAAGCCAGGACTTGGATTGTGAACTTGAACATTGTTAGAGTCAAATTATATTGACTTATATTCACAAAAGAGACTGCAGTTGTTACACCCGAATAAAAATGACCAACATCACACTTGTGCCCCATTTTCATTAAAAAGAAAGATGATGATATAACAAACAATTTGCCAACTGGGATAATTTTAAGGCCTTATTTAGATATACTTGAATACTTGAAACATGACAGATTAAATTTAGCTCCCTGAGATGTTACATGCAGTCTCAAAAAGCCAACCAAAATTATTAGTATTTATTTTAAAATAATTATTTCCTGTTTTCGCTTGAAGGTTTGTTGGAGATTTTCAAACTAATGAACTCAATATTTAATTAAATGAAATCAATGTTGTAGCGCAACTTGTACACATATTATTTATTGTGTTTTTTCTTAACCAGCAAGAACACCACATTCATATTTTCTGTCTGTTTCTACATTTCTGGCTCTTTCTCTCCCTCTCTCCTAGGATCATTGCCTCCAGGTTCTGAATTCTGTGGAGGGGTCCGAATGGAGGCTCTTTCACAAGGACACGCTGTTGTTACCATCACAGTGGTAACAGAGGCATGCAACATCATCAGTGAGACGACAACACTGGTGGCCTACAGCCCTCTTAAAGTATGCTGTTTGTGTGTGCGCGTATGATTTGTGGTAAGTGTCATGTCTGTATAAAGGGTGATTTATATCAGCCCTATGGTGGCTATTTATTAAGATAATGAACTGTTTGGATGTAGCAGAAGATTAATGTGAAACTGCACTCCTGATCACTGATGTATGACTGCAGCATGGCAGGGACATAGAGAGCAGTGGAGCTCTCTGGTACACTCATGAGAGTTTAATAGGACAGTGTGATGGATCAGTGCTTTTACCTTTGTCAGTCATACACTAATAAAAGACAACAACAGATTTAACAAGGACATTATCAGGAGCTTTTGACTCCACTTAACCTCTCAGTAACATTGTTCTCTCCTTTTTCCGCTCAGTCGCTTGTGCCTGAGGTTCTTCTCTCGGTGGGCTCATCTCATGTGGTTATATTCAAGGGGGGGCCTCAGCCCTGGCCCCCTGCCCCCTTCCGTTTTTATAGCGACATCGAGGTTCTTCCAACAGGGAGTATTACCGTGGAGTCACTGAGTCCGGCCCAAGCAAGGACACCTCGATATGCGTATCAGGTCATGTGCACCTCCGTGGGAAAACAGGTTTGGGAAATGTCTTTAACTGCAAAGGATCATTCATATGTACTGCATATGTACACTAAATACTGCTTTTACATAGATAATAATAAGAAATGTTTCTTAAGCAGCAAATTGGCATATTAGAATTGATTTTTGAAGGAGCATATGACACTGAAGACTTAATGATGCTTTGCCATCACAGGAATAAATCGCATTTTAAAGGGACAATCTGTACTCTTTATGTATTTTATTATTTAAAATCAACATTTTTTATTCATAAATATGTCCTCAATGGTGTAAAAATATCTCTGCCAATTATCTGACTTATCCTCGTAAACAAAGAATCTATTATCTTTATATACATGGGACGGGTAGGTCCATGGAGGCTTCCATGTAGTTCCGCCATCTTGGAAAAACTATAATAGCAGAGAGGGACAAAAAGTGCTAGGCCAACGTGTTTCCACAACGCATTTTCGTTCAGAGCCAGTGCCACTTGACTGAAAGCAGCAGAAACGGAGAAGTAGAGCAGTGAGAGGCGCTTGTCATTGCCCTGGCAATTTTAAAAGGCTGCATTGCAAATCCTCGTCGCCAGAAAAGTCTAAAATAGATTGTAAAAGGAAACGTGACCGGTGATTACAAAAAACACTAGTTAATGTCAGGATAGCTTCATGGATAGCTTTTTCCAGGTGGATAGAGCTAATGCAGGAGATAGATTTCAAAAGAGATGCTGAAGTTGCCAGTTTTCTTCTCGACAGGTAAGTCAATGTTACAGTCTTAATTATATGCTTTTTTTTTCATTGTTTGTTTCATTGTTTGTCAGAAAATATAATGAATAAAGAAGGCATAACTACTTATTACAATAGTTCATGTTTTTCACAGTCAGTAATTCATACTGTAACAGTTGTTTGTTCATTGTGTCAAGTTGCTGTTTGTTTGAAATAACAAACCTGTTCACCCGAAGGAACACTCGACGAAGTGCTAGACGTCATCCAAGATATCATAGCTTTTTGGTACATAATGGTTACCGTAGATGCAACGCGCATTTGCGCTGAAATTCGTTTGAATGCAAAATACATTTTCACTGCTAGATGGCAGCAATTCCTAGTACACATTGTCCCTTTAAGACATTTTTTTAAATGTTATAATATTTAAAAATTTAACGATTTTACTGTATTTTTGATCAAATAAATACAACCTTAGTGAGCATAAGTGACTTTTAAAAACATAAAATCTCTCTCTCTCTCTCTCTAAATATATAGTCTCCCATATATATATATACACTCACCGGCCACTTTATTAGGTACCCCATGCTAGTAACGGGTTGGACCCCCTTTTGCCTTCAGAACTGCCTCAATTCTTCGTGGCATAGATTCAACAAGGTGCTGGAAGCATTCCTCAGGGAGTTTGGTCCATATTGACATGATGGCATCACACAGTTGCCGCAGATTTGTCGGCTGCACATCCATGATGCGAATCTCCCGTTCCACCACATCCCAAAGATGCTCTATTGGATTGAGATCTGGTGACTGTGGAGGCCATTTGAGTACAGCGAACTCATTGTCATGTTCAAGAAACCAGTCTGAGATGATTCCAGCTTTATGACATGGCGCATTATCCTGCTGAAAGTAGCCATCAGAAGTTGGGTACATTGTGGTCATAAAGGGATGGACATGGTCAGCAACAATACTCAGGTAGGCTGTGGCGTTGCAACGATGCTCAATTGGTACCAAGGGGCCCAAAGAGTGCCAAGAAAATATTCCCCACACCATGACACCACCACCACCAGCCTGAACCGTTGATACAAGGCAGGATGGATCCATGCTTTCATGTTGTAGACGCCAAATTCTGACCCTACCATCCGAATGTCGCAGCAGAAATCGAGACTCATCAGACCAGGCAACGTTTTTCCAATCTTCTATTGTCCAATTTCTATGAGCTTGTGCAAATTGTAGCCTCAGTTTCCTGTTCTTAGCTGAAAGGAGTGGCACCCGGTGTGGTCTTCTGCTGCTGTAGCCCATCTGCCTCAAAGTTCGACGTACTGTGCGTTCAGAGATGCTCTTCTGCCCACCTTGGTTGTAACGGGTGGTTATTTGAGTCACTGTTGCCCTTCTATCAGCTCGAACCAGTCTGGCCATTCTCCTCTGACCTCTGGCATCAACAAGGCATTTCCGCCCACAGAACTGCCGCTCACTGGATGTTTTTTCTTTTTCGGACCATTCTCTGTAAACCCTAGAGATGGTTGTGCGTGAAAATCCCAGTAGATTAGCAGTTTCTGAAATACTCAGACCAGCCCTTCTGGCACCAACAATCATGCCACGTTCAAAGTCACTCAAATCACCTTTCTTCCCCATACTGATGCTCGGTTTGAACTGCAGGAGATTGTCTTGACCATGTCTACATGCCTAAATGCACTGAGTTGCCGCCATGTGATTGGCTGCTTAGAAATTAAGTGTTAACGAGCAGTTGGACAGGTGTACCTAATAAAGTGGCCGGTGAGTGTATATATATATATATATATATGTGTGTAGTTGAGATAGTATTATTATAAATAACTGAGATAGTATTCATGAAGAACACAATCTCAATTATTATTATTTAAAAATGTTCTTTTTTGCATAAAACCCACAAAATATCTACCAAATTGATAGAAAAAATAAATAATTGAGATAGCATTCTTCATATTAATGAATTAATTCTAAATTTGACATTTCTCTGCTGCATTAGCGGGCATTGAGTTGGTGAAATGCTGTTTTACTTGTGTGTGTCTGTGTTTATGTGTGCAGTGGTTGGTCTTCGGATGTGGTAATACTCCAGGACCGTTCAACGAGATTCCTGCAGTCGAGGAGAGCAGAGTTCATGTGGCGTGTGGCGTCCCTGCTAGTCTCTCTCTCTCTCTTCTATCGTCAACCACCTCCTCCCAGTCCTCACCTTCATCCATCCCTCTATTCTCCCATCACTATTCCTGCACTCAGCCTCAGTACCCCTGTGGACTGGTGAGTAATGCCCACTTTATCCTCTCTCTTTCTCGTTTTGCCCCTTCCTGCTGTTATGTCCTCTCACAAACTCTTTTATGAATCACTCATTTTCCTCTTTTCCCTTCACCTGCCAAGACCTCTCTTTTTTCATTATTTTATTTTCTCATCCTCCAGGTGTTTCTCTTTCTTTCTGTTTCACCCCTACACCCACACCAGAACTCAGTCTCTCTCCTTCCCTCTTTTCGCTGCTCTCATTTGCCATGCAATTATGTGAGATATGCAGGGTGAAGTGTTATGGCAGTTTCCATAGTAACTGCAAGCATGGGCCCTCAATGTGTGTGTGTGTGTGTGTGTGTTAAGGTTGCATGAGGTCTTTTCCTCTCCTGACATAGATGCACTAGAAACCTTTGATCAACGTCAAACCCTCGCAATCAATATACCCTCAGTAATATACTAAAACCATTTCTGAGAATGAAACATCACATCATATCTCTAATTGAAACCGATGGGCACCCATAAGTGATGAGCAAAACTTCGATTTTTGGTCATAAATGTTCCTTTTTTGGTCACAGCACACTGAGAGAGACAGAAATTGCATTAGATTTACCAATTTAATGAAGCATATCATTAGTCAAAGTGAAACACACACACACACACAAAATGGATAGAATAATTACAATCCGGCAGAATGCCAGTGATTGCATGCTCACTTATTTACACACATTTCTACAAACCATGATGAGTGTGTGCAGTGCACACACCAAAATAGTAATGATATGTTAAGGAATAACTGACAAGTTGGCAAAGAAAAGAGTATTCAAATTTTCTTCATTATGTATACACACATATATTTTACTGTCTTCACATGTATTTTACTGTTAAAAATTATAAAAAAAAATTCAGGATTATTTGATGAATTGAGAGTTTAGTGAAAAGAGTAGCATTTATTTGAAATAAAATAAATTGTAACATTATTAATGCCTACTGTCACTTTGTATCAATTTAAAATGCATCCTTGCTGAATAAAAAGAAAGTCTTACATAAATCTTACATAAAATAAATAATGTGACCATTTGGTCATAAACTGACGGATGGCAAAAAAAGGACTATCACTCCACATTCTTGTGACTGATATCTCTGCCACCTTTGTTAAAAGAAACATTTACACATTAACTAGGTTCACAGTTTCTTTCTCATAATTATAGAGCACCAAATCAATAGTTTATTGCTTTTCTGCTATATTTGAAATATTTTTTCCTTTGTGTCTTCTATTGGGAGATAGGTTAAGCATGATTTTATCATTATTTATTTAACAAGGTCACGCTTTATCTCTTTCAGTGTTTTGGACTTCTTTTATTCTCTCAGAATTACTCTGATGTGTTCATGTCATTCTTTTTGTTCTCTCTCACAGTTATCTGTGTCCAGTACTAGGGATTCTACATCGCCGCTGTCTGTGTTTGACCAAAAGGGAGTGCAGTTTGATAATTTCAGTTCCTTTTCGCTGAGGTGGTCCTCCTCTGACCCTGGTCTCCTCTCACTTGGTCGCCTGTCCACAATGACAGCGGCTGACAGACCAACTCAGACAGGCTACAAACTACATGGTGTTTTGCTTTGCACTGTCTAATTTTGCCATTTTTTTTAGTTTTCATAATATTGTGTAAATTGATCAATGACACTCATTTGTTTGTCTGAATCTATTTATATTAGATATTCTATCTATATCGAATTTATTCAAAAATAGATTAATGCAATTAATGCATGAAATGAATACACAGCTTCTATTATGACTTTTTAATTTCTGAATTCAATTTAAAAGAATCTCAGACTGATACAGCTGTCCTGATGCCATCTTTGTTTAGTTCTTTGACATAGTATTTTAGTAATATTTCTTAAAAACAATCAAATTAT